GGAGCCCTAAAGAGTCCGAGCGAGAGGGTTTTTACGGAGAACGCGAAACCTCCAGACAACTTCAGTGCGCTGACCTTGGCCACGATTTACAACCAAGTGATTCCGCCGTTGTTTTAATGTCAAGACAGAAACTGAGATCACGACAGCTGTAGAGTACAAACCTTATTATTTAAGCACATTTTCAAGACAAAATCCTCCAGTTTTCTTGTTACAGCTGTTAAAATCTGAAGATTTGTTGGTTTTCTTTTTTGCTAAATGGATTAAAAACACAATTTACATGGATGTTTTCCACTAAAATCTTTTCTTTTTTTAACAACTAATGATTACAAACCTTATTCCTAAGGTGTCAAAGATACCCGCAAGGTGTCATTTGGCATCACCAGCACATGTGTAGGAGGTTTTCCACTTTAATCCGATCAACCCCCAACTCAATGCTGGGTTTGAAATGGATGTTTTTTAAAAAAATAGAAAATGACACCACTGGTCAGAGCCAAAAAGTGTAAAACAAAAAGAATCACGAGATTGTCACTGAATCTTTTCAGCAACAGTCATCTAATCTAAGCTTAAGATTGCAATATTTGATCTAATTTACCTTGGTGTACATGTCTAATTCTACATTTCACTATAACAAATTAATATAAAGTCTAACTCTACAGAAAATTAAAAATGATGTGCACCAAAGCGGAGCCAAAAACTTGAGCAGATTTGTGGAGGCTGTCTCGAGATTAAAAAACAACTTACTTGATCGATAAAATAAAGGCAGCATGGCTTAAAAAACAGTCTACGGATGAACAAGTTGTGGACGATACATTCTGCACGGTGAAATATCCTTCTGGAGTTGATGTGCAAAGTAGATTACAAGTAAAGTAAAATATATTTTGATGATTTTTTTCCCCACTTGCGAGCACTGAGAACTTAAACATGTTGATTCTAGCTTTATTTCCAAAAACTTTTAGCACAGAAATCTCTTCAAGCAACGTTTTTCTTTTTTCACAGAGGCGCAGAAATGAGTAAAAATCGAACACTACTGGGGTTCAGAGGGTTAAACCAGCCTCTTGAGGAGGTGTGGGTGGAGGGCTGGCAGTGTTCGCCAAGAAGATTGAGGCTGGTGAGCATTATTTTGTCACTTAGCGTTGATATTTTGATACTTGTCAGAACTTTTCGGTCGAGTTTAGGCTCAAATAACAGCCTTTCAAAGCTTTAAACACACGCTACAAGACAAACTCGACGACCCCGGCAGAGAACAATGGAGTACAGGCTTGTGTCTTTCATGCACATCGGGGGTAAAAAGGACTGAAGCGGCCTCATGTGACGAGTTGGGAGGACGTGTTGTTTATCACGTTATGATTTAGCGGGCCGGACAGAAATTGACAGGGTTGCAGTGATGTAAATGTGCCCAAAAAAGTCTCTCAGAAGTAACTTTTAAAATAAATTTAGAGTTGCAGAAGCACTAATTTGCTTTTGTTGTGCGATCAGACGGGGGTTGGCATCACCTGACCTCCGACCTCGCATCCTAACACCCCACTTGGGCATCATCGTTATTGCTGGTCGCAGGCACGAAAAGGTCACTCGAGGTCACAGCGCTCTTCAGTGTTAACATGCATCCTCCCTCACGCAAGTAAAATGCTAAGCTCCACCCACCTTCTTCACCTCCGAGTGAATACAAATCGAGCGCTGAAAGGCGGCGTGGGGATAAGGGACGGTCGGAGCTGGACCTGAGGAGGCCCACGTCATCCATCTAACTGTCAGCATCTCACCAGGCAAAAATCACCATCCCTCCCTCCCTCCTTCCCTGCTACCTTTATGGCCCCACATATGCGGACATATGCAGACACAAACACAAGACCCCCCGCGGCTTCGGGTAGCTGAACACTGTAATTTTAGCACAGCAGCTGCTTTCGCCTGCCATAAAAGCGACATCCCTGTAGCTCTTCTCTCCCTTAATCCTCCCTCCTCCCTCCTTCCCTCCCTCTTCTCCACGTCCGTCCGTTCGCCCATATATACTTTATGAACTGCTCTCCTCATCCAAGCCTGCCGGCGGCGGCGGCGGCAGCTCACGGAAAAATGTGCGATACGTGCCGATGTTGAACTTTTCGTGAACCGCCGTGCGTGCGTTGTAAGTTTAGGGCAACATTCCAAAAAAATAGGGAATAAAAAAAAAAAAAAAAACAGAAAAAAGAAAGAGGAGAAAGTCTCAGAGAGGTGCTGCGAACGTGAAGAAGTTTAAATTTGCGGCTTATAAAATCAGCGTCTGTGGGTCGTCATTTTTTTTAAAGTTGTTGGTCGGAGCTAATTTTTATCGGGAGTCGAGATTTGTTGATGTAACTGCGTAATTTGTTCCTGAAAGTGGAAGATAACACACTACGAATGACGCGTCTTCCGCATGAAGAACCCAGGTGAGGTGTCTCTTGTGACTGACGTTGCCACAGCAACCGCATCACCCACCAAAACCCTGACTCCGCCCCCTCCTCCCCACATTCACTTAACAATCCCCCAGATGCCTAATTGTTTCCCTAATGATTCCGGGCCTAATGGGACTGTTTATAGTATTCATTTGATAGCACTAGCCCAGTAATTAGACTACACCTCACTTCATTAAACAGCAGGGGGGGGGGATGAAGGAGGAGGAGGAGGGAGGCGATGGGGCCCGGTGGCGTATACAGTACAGTATATGCACAGGCCATAGCAAGAAAGTGCTTCTTTTTAAAACACAGCCCCCACGATGGAAATGCATAAACACACACGAGCCACAGAAAGCAGCCGCAGACCCAGGAGACGGGCCGCGCTCGCCTGGAAACGGCACTTTGCATTCAGAGCGCCGCTCATTTGCCTGCAGCCTCTCGGTATCTCCTCGCCGTTTCTCCCATTGTGCTCCTCACGAGTGCTTCTTATCATCAGCGCCATTGTGCGGGATGGTTCGATGGTTGTCCTGGCAAAGGGCCCTGTATCTACATCCAACGAGCTGCAGCAGCGGGAAGTGAATAAGATGCTTCGCTCGTAACTAGATGTAAACTTCTTCAGAATAATAGATTCAGTGGAGCCGCCTTGAACGCAAATGTGAAGAAGGTACACTGTTGTCTGTATTTTTATCTGGCGGCCTTCCAGGTTTAGTTCTAATTTTTGATTGAATTACAGTCGTGACTCGATAACCCGACCCTTAACAATCTGAAAACTTTGCTATCCGACAGGTTTTTAGGAAAAACTAACAGAACCCATTAAAAACAGCCTCGACAGCCTTGGATTCCAACATGACATTTTCTGTCACCAATCAGGATGACGGCGTATTATCTGACTGAACAATCCCACAGATTGGCTACGTTCACACTAGGACTTCATGCTCAATTTGGATTTTTTTGTGAAATCCGATTTTTTTTGCGAGTTCGTTCACATTTCCAATTAAACACGACTTGTATGTGATCTGCTGTGTGAACTTCATACGACCCAAAAGTGTCCCGCATGCGCAGAAGAGGACACGACAACATCATGCAGTGAGCGTGCTCAGGAAGTAAACACGGATGGTGGCAGTGGAGCGTATCCTGCCCGCCACTCCCTCACTGCTGTGTGACCGCTAACTAAACTAGCATCAGCAGCCAAGTACTGCCTGTGCATTCCGGCCACTTCGACCCCATTGGAGCGCTCCCCCGGGGTGGAAGTGCCCCCGACTGCACCGAATATTCATCATTAGTTGGGCCTGAATATCCAGAGACCAAAAGGTGCTATTGGGACCAGCCCTACTGGTTATTATGACAACTATAAGCAATAAATATTAACAACAAATGACAGTCCAAGCATCAAGCCCTCCTCGCATCTCGACCTCCGTCTTGACAATCCGACATAAAAGAAGGTTTTACATTTAGTGTCATCGAGTCACGACTGTGTTTGTTCTGTTGCACAGAACTTCCTTTAGTTTTTTGTTGTGTTTAACTCGGTAAAGCCTAAAAATCTTCCAGTAGAAGTAAAAAGCATGTTTTCTTAAATAAAACTACCAAAACAGAAGTTTATCAGAGCAAGAAACTGATAAAAACAGAAAGAAAATGCCAGATTTCCAACCTTCCCACCGTCCTTGAATAAATCATGTGTTACGCGCGACTTACTCAGAAAACTTTCCCGAATTTTCACCTCGAAATCTTGATATTTCATCAAAATCGCTATTTTTTCTATCTCGTTTTTTTTTTTAAAATCACCAAAAATAAAGCATTCGCTCGAACTAGATTCTGTAAATAACAAAATCTCGACAAAAGTTCCTCTCATTTAAACATCTACAGCACGTAGAGGCCTCATTTTTCCTCAGTATTTGTAAAACCTGTGTCCAAATACTGTCATATTTTCCAGGTTTGTGCAGCTTTTTAGAAAAATCCAATTGTACTGCTAGAAGACGTGTTTTCTCTACTTCCAGCTAAGGTTGTGCCGTTTCAGTCGCTCAGTGAGGAAGAAATATGAAAGAAAGTGCTCGGGATGATAAATAAACTGACTTTAAAAGCATCTTCTATAGGCGACTCCATTAGCAACCAGAAAGACTCCATCGTTGGTAGTGGGACATGTCAAATCTAAAGTGTTCAGGTTTGTCCGCGCGAACCATTTGCAGTCATTGATGCAGCTTCATGTAAATTTTGAACGATCAAAGCTGAGATGAGTCGGATAAATTGAGTCCAAGCGAGATGCAGAAACGCTCCACTTGTGTCTACGTCAATGCTGCTAACATCAGATGTGCATTTGCTACAGTTACATTCACTCTCTACCACTTTAAATCTCTACGTTTTGAAGCCGTCCATGGCACCTTAGTGATGATCTTGTGTGTCTAAAATGTTGATTTCGTGTTCACCATGGCTAGCGTTTGCTACGAATGTGCAAGGAACAAACATCCAAGTTGCTAAAACGTCCACATTCCTCTATTTCTATCGCTGTCCGTGGTGCTGAAATCCAGTCACATCTTTCTCCATCCGCTCATGCAGATGCAGAACAATGTGGCAAAAACCTGAGATGCTTTGAAAAATCCATACCTTGAGGAAGGAGAGGTTGCGGTTCCGATCGATGCTCGTAATCTCCAAATTCCCCATGACCACCTCGCAGTTCTCGTAGAGCTTCTTCAGGGTGCGGTACTGCTGGTCCAGGTCGGACAGAGTGCTCAGCTTGTTCTCTGTGCCGGGGCAAACTGGGGGGTGGGGAAAAAAAAAAAAAAGTCGAGGCAAGTTAGACAAGATGTCATTTCAAATCAGCAAAATGTGAGTAAAAGGTCTAACAGATGCTTTTCAGTCATTCATAACGGCTGCAGTTATTATATTTCAAGGCCTGCCTCCTCGATCACACACAAAAGGATGCTATAGTGTCGCTGCTTCATACTTAAAGGTCAGCTAACCTGCATAATTGACATCGATTTTTATGTTTTTCTCCGATGTTAAAAATCTCTTTTTTTTTTTCGCTTCTGGATTTTTCTACTTGACTTCGCCTGCACTTAATGAAATTTTAACTAAAGCCTTGGAAGTGCCGTCGCTGTTAAGCTCGTCAAAATGTTAGCGAGATAATGAACGGAGAAGGAACGTTCAGGACTGGGTATGTTGCAAATATGGGTGGAAATGAAGAAAGAAAAGGGAGGATTGAAAAGGAGGGAAATCGGGGGTCTGGAGATTACGCAAACCGCTGGATGGACGCGACCCCCCGACAATGAGGGAGCCGCGAGAGTCGAGACTTGGGGAGGGACAAGTGGGGTTAGGAGGGTGGATATCATTTCTCTGAGGCAGTGACCTACAGTCTGGGTCTGGCACCGGCACACTGTTTAATCAAAGATATTCAAATTGCATTGGTTGACCTTTACAGAGGGTTTCACTTGGAGACTTTACTCGGCTGACGAGATTACAAGACTTTGAAGATATTATAGCGAGGAGACACGGCGGCTCCGGCGGCGCGCGGGAAGGACGGGGCAATTAGAAACGGCGAGGTTTGTTAATTTTTTATCGCTTTCGGCACACGTGCGCAAAACAGGCAGGAGAGTGGAGACGTGGCGGCTGAAAAGTATCCCGTTCCCTCCACCTACATGTACATATATGCATGCTGCAAATCAGTTTTCTCCAAACACCAGCCACCTTTCGACCCCTTCGCACTGTAAAACCAACTTAAGAGCAATTTGAGGAGCACGAACAAGAGCCCAACACGTTGACCTGGGCCTCCGAATTCCCCAAATCTCAACCCAGTTAAGGGTTTTATGTCATGCCTGATCAGTGTGACTCCATATAAGGTCTCAATAAGATTGTATTTATTGTTAAAAAAAAAAAACCTACATTTGCACTAAACTCTGGCTTTTAATACACATAAATGTACATCGCAGCTAAACACCCACTTCC